CATCCATCCATCCACCAACCCACTCATCCATCCATCATCCATCCATCCTCCATTCATCCATCGACCACTCATCCACCCATCCATTCATCAACCATCCATCCATTTATCTATCCATCCATCATCCATTCATCTATCATCCACCCATCATTCATCACCTATCTATCTTTTTTTTTTTTTTAGGGACAAGGTTTCATTCTATAGCCCAGTTTGTTTGAAATGAATGATATAGCCCAGCATGGCCTCAAACACATGGCTATCCTCTTGTCTCTGCCTCCTGAGGGTAGAGATTACAAGTAGAAGCCACTATGTCCAGCCCAATATTATATCATTAACTATAGGTACTGTGTTATCATAAGATCATTAGAATTGTTTCAACATACATAGCAGAACTATTTCAAGTGATTCCCTGTTTTCTTCTTCGCTGGATTCTGAAAACCAGTCTAAATGGATGAACAAATAATTTTGGAGGCCTAGACAGTATTTGAGAAAAACTAAGCTTTGCATTGTATAGTTAGGCACAAAGATTACATTAGAATCCTAACGTGCTAAGTTGAATTTAACCTGGCAAAAATTAAGGAATAATATAAAGAGATTACTTAAGAAGCACAGATTAAGATAGGCATGTGGTATATACTGTAATCTCAGTACTTTGGAGTAAAGGGTAACCTTGCCTACTTGGCAAGCTTGAATAACCTGGGCTACATAAGACTGTGTCAACAACACAAAACATCAGCAAAAAAGAAACTGATTATATGTAAAATGCTAAGTTTACCACACTAGTGTTCTTTATACTTGAATATTTAGGCATATAAAACACTGAAATTATTTTATAAATAGTGATACTGGTTATCCCCTGGGTGATTTCTAATTTTTAATCCTCATGATTTTCTGTATTTTTCTCAATTTCATAGCCTGAACATAATTTCTTGCTTTTAGAGTAAAACATTATTAATTCAGTATTTTAAGTTACTAAAATTCCTTACATTTTTCCCTAGGTGTACCATTTCTCTGGAAAGTTTTTATTATTGTAAAATTGGCCACATGCTATTTTTTGGAGGGGGGGAGGGCTAGACATCAGCGCTAAGCAGGATGAGACACAGCGTATTACTTTCTGGATGGCTGTTGTCACTGCTGGGTAGATGTACAGTGTGAGGAGGTGACAGATATTTAAACATCACCAGCATGTATCTGACCACACTGTTTTACCAAGTACAACCAATATATGTGAGACCGCAAAGCCACAGCCTTAATATAAGATACTGCCTTAAACCTATTTTAATGCTATAAAACAAAAAGCATTCTGATGAGAATTGGTTCAGCTCCCACAGTTGCCATGGTCACTGACCTATCCTTGCTGAGGACAAAGGATAAGAAGGGAGATCTATAGCAAGCAGACCCTGAGACAAGATCTGAAACACGAAATGCCACTGTGAATGTGCCTGACTTGCAGAAAACACGGCATTCTGCCTTTTGATGCTGAAAAAGGAACTAGAAGGATGAGGCAGGAGGATCACTGTGAGTTTGAGGGCAGCCTAAGCTTCATGGTGAATTCTAGGATAGCCTGAACCACAGAGAGAGACCATGACCCAAACACCATCAGGAGCAACAATAGGCCAGGAAATGTTGGTTCTTTTCCTCCAAAGTAGAAAATAGGAAACAGAAACAAAAATGTCCCTCCCATTGTTCTATAATGACAGTAAAGAGATCAGTGTCTAATAGGAAGGCTGACAGGACAAACGAACGATGTCCTCTTTGTTTCTGCATTATCCAAACACCTGGAAAGGACCCAGTTTCACTTGTGATAAGCTTCCCCCCTCAACTGCATTTCATTGTACTTTTGTCCAGTGTTCGTGAGCAAAGCACCTGACGTTTTGTCCTCCATGAACATATCAAAAGCAATTCTCCCAACAGGGCCAGCATCTGCAGGAGAGCGCTCATGCTGTGGTACTGGGGCGCTGCTGAATGTATCCAGCATGACTGTCCTCTGGTCAGCAGAGCCCGAGATGAGGACATTATCAATGGCCCAGTCATTCTGGTCAAGGCCGTCATGTCGTGGCTGCCACCAACGGAATCGAGTGGCAATCTCTTTAGCATCAGGAGGGAGAAGGATATTCACGAATCTAAATGGAAAATAGTGGGGGTGAGGAAAATATTTGTTAAATATTTCATATGAAGAGAAGATGTGAAACAGCAGTAAGCAACTATATATCCTATTTAAAACTCTCCCCCACTCTCTCCAGCTGTACATGCAAATATGTATGTTAACAAGTGGAGGTCAGAGGTCAATGTTGAGTGCTCTCCACTTTACTTTTTGATACAGGGTCTATCACTGCCTGGAGCTCACTGATTGGTAGGCTAGAGAGCTCCAGGGATCCTGTCTACCTTCCTAGTGTTGAGGTTACAGGTGGACACCACTAGAACTAGCTTTTAGATGACCACCAGCAATCTAATTTCGTTCCTAATATTCCTGCAAGGCAAGCACTTTACCAACTAAGTCAGCTCTCTAGCTCCCAAACAAACTAAAAAATAGCTTTATTACATTTGAGTTTATCCCATTGAATATATTTCATACAATGTATCTTGATCATACTCATCCTCAGCTCCTCCCAGATACACTTCCATTTCTCTACTCTTCCTCTTAACACATCAACTCCTGGGTGTGGACCCTTGTTAACTAGCTTCCTTTTACAAGTCATTAGAGAAACAGAATGTAAACAATGTAAGCACACCATAGCTAGCTATCCATCTGAGCCACCTGTGGACCTTAGACATCTGCGACCCTGGGTAGGTAACTGTGAGTCCATATTGTACGTACTCTGAGAGATACAAGCCAATCTTGGCCTTATTTTTCCTGCTACATAAGGGTTGTTTTCAACCTTCTTTCTTTCCTCCTTGGCACTTTGCTTTTTACTTTAATCTGCTAAGTTCAAAGCAACAGGCTGGGAATATGGACACTAGCTTGTGGGAGGATGTTTGAGCCTCAGCCTGAAAGTAAGCAGGTCTCAGTTGACTGTGGTACAGACAAGGCTTTGTTAATGGGCTTCATTGGAAGAAATACTGACAGAGAATTGCTAACAACCTCAGCACGTCTTCTGACTTAGTCACCAAGGACAGATAACTTAATGCTCCAATACAAATTCATCATGTAGAAATGAGGCTTACATTTACAATTGCAATTAAAAAATATGCATTGCAAGCCAGCAATATAACCACACATTTGATTATATTCAGAGCTCACTGAACTCAGGGAAACAATTTCCTTAGTTTTCTCCCTGTGTCTCTGCATCATCCTTTTCTCTGTTGTTTCAGCTGTATTTCAAGAGCAGCCTCTTATTGCTAAAGTTCCTGTCCACGTTAATCTTGGGATGGATCCTAAAGCTAAGGGCTGTAATAACAGTTGCTTTAATCTTTGCCTTCCATATTAAAGAGGTGTAGGTATTTTCCTTTTGTTAACACAGCATTTCCTTGGTGATGTTTTTCTTTTCGATGTTGATAGCCTTGTACATGCTAGACAGTACTCTGCCACAGAGCCATCTGCTTGGCCTTGCTGTTATTTTGTGTCTTTTTTTAAGTTATACCTGCCCAGCACAGTAGGTTGTATTCTGGATAGCAACCAACAAGGATACATGTAAATGGGCTTTGGACACTTCAGTCACTTTGCGCATTCTTTGGTCCAGGAAGGACATTAGTGTTCACATTAAGGAAAGAAAAGGTAACAACAAATATGTTGTTACTGGGTACTTAGAGAGCAGCAGCTTTGACACAGGCCTCTCCAAGATTTATTTCTTCATGTCTCTTGATGTTAGAGCTCATCTGCCCAATTCCTTTTAAACTTATTACTGTTGTGTGAGTTTTGTGGGGCGCATGTGTGGGTGTACATGTAGAGACCAGAGGAGGGTGTTGGGTGTCTTACTGGATCTCTCTTTGTCTCATTCCCTTGAGATAGAATGACTTCAAATAGTTTATATCTCTCCCCAATCCCCCCCCCACTTTTTTTATACAAATTTACTCTTTGAGAAGTCACATGATATATTTTGATCATATTCATTCTCATTCCTCCAACTCTTCCCAGATCCTTCCCCACCTCTCTTCTGACCCAACTCCACATTCTGTTCTCTTTCCCTATTAAAGGGATACATGCAATAGTTTGTGTTGGCTGACTACTAGTCACAGGGTCTGTCATGGAATATTTGTGATGCACCAAATTCCACTCCACTAAAGAAAACTGTTGTTCCCTCTCCCAGAAGTAATCAAATACCAACAGCTCCTTGTGTATCAGGTGGGATTTCATGCCCACCCTACCCCCCTCCTCTATGCTGGAATTTTGTCTGGCTTAGCTTGCACAAGTCTCCTGCATGCTGTCTTTGTCTCCATGAGTTCATATGTGCCTTTGCCCTGTCATGTCTGGAAAACACAGAGTTCAAGGGAACTTACCCTACCTCTGCGTCTTACAATCCTCTGCCCCATCTTCTCCACAGATTGCTGAGCCTTGAGGGGAGGAGGGTAACTCCTGATTCAATATTCTTGTTTTATTTCATTTCCCTTTCCTTTTTCCTTCTGTTGTTGAGATGGGGGGGGGTCTCACTATGTTGTCCAATATATGCTCTCCCATGATCCTTCAACCTCAGTCTCAGAGTTACTGAGAACTCAGAGGGCACCACCTCATCTGGCCCCTTCTGACTTTGCTAAATGGCTATACTGATTTTCTAAAACTGCTTTTCTAAAAGATTTAAAGATTCATAAATGATGGCTGTTTAGGGTTTTAAAATGATTTAATGTGTCCTAGGCATCTTAAGGATATTCTCTATCTTACTGTTTTCTTGTGTATACTGAGCAGATACTTTATAAACAAATGTTTGTGTTTCTCCAAATAGTTTTGAAATTATCATATACTCAGCCTCCATGGTCTTTTTTTTCTCTCTCTCTTTTTTGCACTAAGCTTATTTACTGTTGGCATTATGATCTAGCAACTAATCTTACTCTGGAATGTGAAAGTTCTTAAAATAAACTCTGCTTAGTGATTGTGTAGCTTAGAAAGCTCTCCGTTTTTTTCTGTCTCAGAGTTGTTCTTTACTGATGAGTAAGCTGTAGTCCCCTACCTCAGTCCCTGAAGACTGGTTACTAGTATCCTTACTAAGCATTTTGACTGGTTAATAGTAGCCTTACTAAGCACTTTTTCTCAACATCCTAGTTATTGGAGCCAGAACAGATACAAACCCAGGTTTACTGTACTGGTCATAGAAAATCTCCATCAGCAAGTTCCAGGTGATGCCTCCATTGACAGAGTACTCCAACAGGACTCCCTGGTTACGGTTGCTCGGTGTAATGAGGCATCCATACATGAAGTAAAACTGGATAAACTCAGCATTAGTCAGGTTCAGATCCACAGTAACTAACAATCGGCTACAGCCCTAAGGAAAAGAAGCAGAATAGGAAAGGAGCATCAGGAAGCAATCTTGATTTCAGACCCTGCAGATTACAGCTTTTCTCTTACTTTCTTTTAAATATTGTTTTTGTAATTCAAGGTTCATGGTATTGTTACTATCTCTCTTATATTATCTCTCTGATTGTTCTATTATCTCTTACATTAGCTTCTAGCATGATGCTCACCTCATGTTTGCTGAACTTCCAATTCTCAGTGTTTGAGACTTATTACTATAAGTCTCATATACTTACATTATGTCATATATTCTAAGGAGGTTCCATTTATATATATATGTATATATGTATATATATATATATACACATATATATGTGTGTGTGTGATATATATATATATACACATATATATACATATATATGTGTATATATATATGTATATATATCAAAGTAAAAGTAGGAATTAAAGTGTGCAAAGTTTTTATTAATGTATTTTCAACTATTAGTATTTGCTAAAAAGCACCAGTTATTAATGAAGTAATATTTTGACATAACTATTTTATTTTATTTACATCTGTGTGTATAAGTGTTGGAGCTGTTGTTACTGACAGTTGTGAGCCACCATGTGAATGCTGAGAATCAAACTCAGGTCCACTGGAAGCACAGCAAATGCTCTCAACCCCTGAGCCATCTCTCTAGCCCTCAGACATAACTATTTTGAATAAAATATTAAAGATAACCACAACTGAAATACTTATATGATTTAATTATGAGAGTTACAATGCCCTTTAAAATGTTTTAAAAATTTATTTATTTATTTAAATGAGTGTGGTTGTTTTGTGTAAGTACACATGGGGGCATGAGTTTATGTTTTCACACCTGTGCATGTTCACATGTGTTCACATGCAAGTAGAGGTCAGAGGTTAATGTTGGGTATTTTTCTTTATCATACCTCACCTTATTTTTGAACAGAGTCTCTCACTGAACATGGAGTTTACAAATTGGCTAGACTTTCTGGTCAATGAGCTCTGGAGATCTGGCTGTTTCTAATTTCTACCCCAACCCACACCTACACTCTGAACTGGGGTTACATAGGCCTTATTTTTACATGGATGTTGGGGATCTAAGTCTTTATGCATACAGGTACTTGCTGACTGAGGCATCTCTCCCCACCCCCAAATGGCATTTATTTAAATATTCATAGCTAACTTATGTCATTTATATTAATTATCAATTAATCTTGATAAGTAGGTATTTGTTAATTGAACGTATATGGACATCTGAGCCACTCCCACTTCTACTTGAGGTAGAGTATCTTGAATATGTGTTCTTAGTGTTGTCAATTATAAAACAGTCATTATAGTCATTATGATAATATATACTTTGCTACTCTTGGGTAGAATATTGGATATAAATAATATAGGACTACTTCTTTGGCATCAATATAAACTCTGCAATAGAGTACAGTTAAAAAAAAGGGTTGAGTGTAAATTGGTTATTTTTTTATTAATTTGCCTATCTAATCATGATACTAGAGATAGTATGCTTTCAAAAATGTAAAATTTAGCAGCAAAATAGAATGATTACAATTCTTTTTCAAAGGAAAGTATTCCAATATTGCTTCTGCCACACATTGCTTCTGCCACACACAAAATAATATGCTCCAAATACAAATGTTCAGTAATTACTGATAAATTATTCTTCCTGGAATGATTTATAAAAGTTGTTAATACATTCAAGAAACACTGAAGTTCATTTCCCAGATTTTTACTCTTTTATCCCAAATGTGTAGTGAGCTCAAGAACTTTCGATTATGGTTTGATCAAGATGGAAACCCCCTTATCCCCAACACACACACTGTACAGGTCTCCTTTCTCAGGATGGAAATATATGTAAATCCTTTAAAATGTGTTCTTAAATATTCCCTGTGCTGACCCAAGCTGAGTCTTTAAATAGTCTCAAGTTTTTGATAGGAAAATACTGTAAATGCTCAGTGCGGCCTGATTTGTGTAAAGTTGAAAGTTCAGATCATGACTAGGCATCAAGGATAACTGCATCTTGATTGGCTGATTAAACTTTAAAAGGGACTCATGGGACTTGTGGGGAACTTAGAGGTTGGAGAAAAGAGAAACCATTAGCCCAGTTCTTACCCCACTGAAATGGAGAGCCAGGCCCGAAGCCACAGCTCCGCACACGGTACTCAACTTCCCACCATTCACAGTCAGCCAGTTCTGGTTGGAGGGAGCACGATTAAAGTTGTCTTTGAGCTGGGTTGGAAGGGAGGTCTCAGGCTCCTCACAGTACAGGCCTCCCCACTGCTCATCACAGCTGGGTGTGGAACAAGAGAAAGGCAGAGTCAACATCAGAGAAAGCCCAAGTATTCCCACATTCTGGGGTCATGAAAGGTTACTGCTCTTCAGAGTTGCAGAGCTTGGCTAAAGATCACCAGGTTTCTTTAACAACACCAGAGGTTGAATTAACCTCCTCAGGGCTTTCCTAAAGTAATGTCTAGTGGTTTCAGGCTGAGGGAAAGAAACAAGTTTAAACAATGTACTGAAGTCCTGACTCATGTGACCAAGGGATGACCTATAGGATTGCAGCTGCCCAACCACACTCCTCGAGGATAATAGGATATGGATTTGGTCTCTTTCACAGAAGCTTCCGGCAATTTAAGAACCAAGTGGCTGAGTGCTCAACAGCAGCCATGTTTTGGATAAGCATTGCCATCCCTCAACAGAGTTCTCCACTCTCTGTTCAGGGAGGCTGCCCAGGGCTCTTCAGAGGCACTCTGGATATGGGATACAATCATTGACCAAGGGCCAAATTTTCCATGTCTACAGATTAGTGGAGAAGATAATATGCATTTTTCTATTAGTGTCTATACACTCAATCAAACAGCATGACTTTAGAAAAAGAAGCATAAAAGGCTGTAGTGCAGCTATGTGCACATGTGTGTACGTGTGTGTATGTGTATACATACATATCTATCCAAGTGCTTAAAACATAGATTCTTCCAAAGTTGCTAAAGATCTATAAAGAATGCTATAGAGGGTTTTTCTGTGAAATATGCCTCATAAACTGATCAGATATGTTTATGCTTTATTATACAAACAGCATGAGAGTATCAACTAAATCTCAACAAATGCATGCACTCCCTTCTACGCTGACTTAATATATTATTTTTGGTGAGAATCTATTGAACTCCCGAAAGCTTTCTATCATCTTTTCAAGGCTCAAATGTATCACAGAAACAGAAGAATGATGAATACTGTCAATTATAGTTGAGCTTTCTCTTGACAATGTAGCTGTTGTTCAGGTGCTAATCAGATGTAAAGTAGTTACAGTGGCCATCAGTTCCACTGTTAGCTCAGTATTGTAATCAGGAAAATGCAAAAGCTAGTTACTTGGGGAGTGATGACAAAACCAGTTCTAGAAAGCCCCCAATGAAATAAGCTGCAATATTTAGACATAAGAAATATTCCAACTTACATGCAGCTTCCCTGAATGCATCTCCCATGGCCACTGCACATGTCTAGGCAACCATCCCCAATATAGACGTTATCTATTGCCCAGGTCTGCTGCTTGTCAAAAGGCGCTGGCTGATGCCAGCGGAAACGAGTGGCTTGAGACCTTGGAAGAAGAAGAGATTTACAATGAAGAAAATGTATTCTAGTAAGCTTGAAGAGGGCAACACAAAGGCACACTTTCCCAGTCCTATTTTCAAATATATAACAACAGCCCAGACAAACCTCTAGTTAACAGTACTAAGCCAAACAAATAGATTCAGCAAGCATTTTGCCCCCGGGATCTTGCTGGGTCTTGAAAAAAGGACTACATCATAGACTAATCTTAAAACCAGAAGCCTTAGGGGAACAATGGAAGTCTGAGTTTTGCATGGAAGCCATTGTATGGAGACATCAGGGATGTAAACTGGGAGAAGAATGCCCATCCTTGAGCAGCTGTAACCCTTCTGCCTCTAACTTAGAACAGAATGTGGGCTGGGTTTCATGCTCTTCCGCTGCTCTCTAGGGCAAGATACTTTTGTGCAGTGAAACAGGCATCCACCTCACTCAGCATCCAGGAACAGTTCTAATGGAACCTTAGGGACAGGATAAACATAAAACAGAGAGATCAATGGAACCCGAAATAATTATACATGCAGAAGGAGAGGTAAGAAATAAAGCCAGGCTTATTTTATGAAATAAATACATATAAACCCAGAAGTTCTCCATTTCAGAAGCAGCAATGCTTCTCCTTCACAGTTTGGAGAACATCTTGTTCAGCAATCAAACGTGTTCACAGCCACTAGATGGCAGTAAGACGCAAACAATACCTGGGCCTTGTGCAACCATTCAAAACTTTTAGAGAAGTAAACTGTGGTTACTGAGCCATGCATACTTTATACTAAAAGACCTAATATTTTGGTCAGGGAATATGTGTTTCAGGAAGGGGAAAAAAGATGAAATCACAGCAACAGTCTTACATTTTCTAATCAAAGATACGTACTTAAAATTTGATTAATAATCCAAAAAGAATAACCTATAACTAAGATTTTCATTCTGGAAAACAGCCCAGTCCTGTTTGTGTCCTGAGCATCTTGGCATAAACTGATTTCTCACAGTCCTTTCTCTCAAGCTCCCACACTACCAGCAGAGGCGTCTCCTCAGCTCAGATCTTTCACTTCATATTGCACTGAGTTTAAGCACCAAGTCCTGTCCTTGGCCCCTGGTGTGAGCGGGCCTCTCCTCTTCTCCCTTCTGGACATCTTAAGCATCAATCCTTGAGGTTTCCAGAGCACATGGAATTTGTTCCCACCTTTCTGTACTAGTGTTTTCCCCTCAAGAGGAGTGCACTCTCTCTGCTTGTAGGAACTCACAGGAAACGTCAGTCCTCAAAGAGACATTTTCTTTCTGACCCTTTTAAAAATGGCATTTGTTTCATATTATTCAGACCCACAGCAATCTGCTTTTATGTGGTGTTTAACACAGTTTAGCACACATGTGCATATGTTTCAGGGTGACACAGTTCCTTCCTGGCATGTTAAGTCATAAGGCAGCATGTGGGGCAGATCTCTTTTGGCTCAACTCTGAGTGGTGCTCTATAGAGACAGGGAGCTGATTGATATTCCAGGCCACTGCGAAAGGAATGTAGTCAGCCTGCACATAATTTATTCTGTCTTTTGATTTTATTATAAATTTCCTGAAAGGCAAGGAATATTATTTTGTGTCCTCCGTGCTTATCGATAATAACATGTAATAAACTTTCCCTGTTCCCCAATACCACACACATACACGGCTACTAAAGCCCATGTCACCTTATAAAGTGTCCATTTTTGAAGCAGTTGCTTTTATTAATTATTCTTTCTGTTAATTGTTTCACTGTCTGTAGTGCTTATAAATGGGGATTTCATAAATATCTACTGCAAGAATATTAAGTTGACAGCAATAAACATTCCCAAAAAAAGCAAATAAAAGATACCATGCAGGTGGCTGAGGGGGGAACTGGGGTCAGTGTTGGAGGGACAGTAATTTGATGGCTTCTGGAAAAGGCTGGAGAGGTAGCACGGGCTGCCTAGCAGGTGGTGGCTTTTTGATGACTGGTTTTGTTCAGTCACAGTCTGGGTAGCCTCTGAACAGAAAGACTGAACAGGAGATTTAAGAGCCAGATGAATTGCTGGAGGTGCCGGCTTTTGTGGAGACTTCCAACCCGTCCCCTTTTCAGTCTATTGCTCTCTCTTGAGCTCCACAGAAAAGGAATCAGTAGGAGTCCATGTGAAGATTGAACTGACACTGGAGTTGGCCAATGAGTCTAAAGATAAGCGAGGGCTCTAATTTGTACTCTGGCACCAGTGAGCTCTATGTTCTCAGTGAGCAAGTGAATGTTTCTACACAATAAGGAGGTCAGATATGACAATTTTTGAGCCCCTATTGAAATGCAATGGTTTTCTATTCTAAGGAATAGCAATATCTGGTAGTCACATACTCATAGGCAAATACATCATCCATTATTATTTTATAGGAAGAAGAAGCACTTTTATTAAAGGGAAGAAGTGCAATATCGATTCAGAGGCAGAATATAGAAGTTCAATTCAACCTCTAAGCCTTTCCAATGAAGCAACTTATTTCCAGCCCTGCCTGGCCTCTCTGTGAGAGGGGCCAAATCACTTAGATCTACATGCTGACACTTTCCCATCTGCAAAGCTCAGAAAATGCTGCTTCCTGACTCACAAGGGTGTTGTGAAAATTAATTAATTGTTCATGTTTACCAAGACCTACGAGCGCTTTGGCGTCTCCCTTGGCAGGTGTCATTGCTTATCCTGAAGGTCCCATCTAATGATGGTTGCTACCAGCTGCTGCTTCTCCAAGTTGGAGGAAAAAGGGCCCCAGAGCAAATTTCTTATTTTCACATACCCTTGAAATCTCTCCTTTTGATTATTTTCTAAGTTTATACCACTTCCTTTCCATCAACACATTGGAGGTGCTTCAAAAGTACATTCTAGTAATATCAATTGCTAAGCATTAATATGTTACTGCAAATACACTGTGCACCTTCCCCATGACATGGCCACACCTTTTAATAGGTTTTAGTAAACATTTCATACTCTTAGATTCTGCAGAATGACTCCATTTACCCAGGAAGACTTCACTGTCATTGTCATGATGGGACAAATTCCTTTGAAAGAAACCACAGCTAAGGATCTCAGTCTTTCTGATCTTACCTGACATTACATTTACCCTCAAATAGACACCTAAATACTCAAGTTAACTCTTAATCTGCTGATGAAGATGACGAGGCCCAGTGCCTTAGTCATACACTGATTCACTAACAAACCAGCGTGATAAGGCAAGAATCACTTGACTTATACTAGGTATTGGTATATATTTAAGTAACTATGTAGTTATAAATGTGTGTTTTACATATATATTACACACACACACACACACACACACACACACACACACACACACACACACCGGATATACAGTGTTTATCCAGCCTCCAGGATTACTTTATTAAAAAAAATATCAGCTAGCAAAAGGAGCATTTCCATGAGTCACTCCTCTAAGCTTTTCTTTTCTCTGGAGAGGAGACAAACAGTGACCTTCACTATATCTTGGTACAGGCCCCTGAGTGAGTGACATAGGGAAAGCAGATAACCTCTTTGTCCAGCCCTGTCTACTAAGAGGAGGAAGAGAGATCTGTTGGGGTTTGGTCTGCTGCTGTGTATACAGATGTTTCTGACACCCCATCAGCAAAGATAGGAATGTGGTGATGGTGGTTTTCAGGGAAGACGAAAACTGAAACAAACAGCTGAAATACTGGAAGCACTGCCAAGCACAGGGTCCTTGACATTAAGACTTTGGAGTACTTCTGTTGGTGCTGAAGAGTATATGTGTGTGGAGACAGGAAGTGGTACATTCAGTATATCCCAGAAGCCTCCAAATCTTTCTGTCATCAGCAGGGAGAGGGAGGGGCCCATGACCTGCCTCAACAAAAGACAATAGTATGCCATGACACTCAGTGAGAAGAGATAAGAGAGCTTAAAGGAGGTCTGGGAGGCTTAAATTATCCTGATTTGTATCCTGAGTTGCAAAAACTTTATGACACTTTATGAGACCAGGAACTCTGAGTGGTGAATATTGAAGAAGTTATGAACAAGAAATTGCCATCTTTAGCTGTGATAATTATATCACAGCTGTCCAAAATGCTCTTCCTGTCTAGTAACGTGCACTGAAATATTTTTAGTGGAAATGCTATGATGTTTTGAATTTACATCAAAACAGCATGGGGTTAGAGTAAGTGGAGTTACTTACGAATCAGCATTGGTTGCAGTGACTGAGTACATGGGGGTCTCTTTAACTTAGTATATTTGCTTTTTAAATAAATAAAAATATAAGGCAACAAAAATCCTTTAAAAGCACAGGGAATTTTTAATTTCAGAATTTAAAATAAAAAAGAGTAGCTCTCATCTCTAAGCAAAGTAACTTTAAAAAATTGTGCTGAATATCACAGAAAACAATAATAAAAACTGTAATATTCCACCTCACTGGAATATTACTCAATAGGCTGGACTGAATATAAGAGATTTCCTTTAGCTTTCAACTTATCTTTTCAGTGAAGGACGACTTATATTTAGCTGTGAAAGCAATTTCAATAACTCACATATATGTACAAGACGAGTCAAACATCAAATTCTCTGATATAAACTTGGTAAGAAGTTGGTAGTACATACGGCTCAGAGGAAGCTGAATCTCTACTGCAGAACACATAGACATGGTTTTAACCTGTTTAACACGAGTGCCAATATAACAACATATTCAGTGTGTGGGATTCAGTGGTACTATACAAAATTACTATGTTTTATGAACCCAAAATGCCAACAAACCATAGTTAGTGACGCTCAAAGTATTAAACAACACAGGAGAAGACAGCCTGAGATATTAGTCCAGGATTTCTCCTGCTAGTTTTAACATTTTACATAGACTGTTCAGTCATGAATGTTTGAACAATGAAGCCTTTATAAACATCCTGTTGTATTGGAATAACAATAGACAGAGATAAAGAATCTCTCTTTAACAAAATGAACTCCTGGCTCTCCTAGATATTTGAAGATCACAGTAAATGTTATGCTTGCTGGCTTGGTTCTGCTTTCTTTACTCTCAGGTGTATGTGGGGATCTCACTGAAAAGTTGCCTTCCCTTTAACTTTATTTTGCTTTTGCTTTTGCTTTACCACCACCCCTTCTCCCCCCCAGCCCTGCTTCTAGTTTCTCCTTTAACTTCCCACAGATTTTTCCCTTCTGTGGCTAAAGTACCTGGCTTACAGCATGTGTGTTGTAGTTAATCTTTAAGGAAGATGGCAGCAGCTGGGTCACTGGGCCTGCGGTAGTGGATCATTTCACCTTAACTTAAAATAGCCAAGTCTCCCCTTAGCCGTACTGTGGCCACTCCCTTCTGTCCTTTCTCAGTGGATTTGAGTTACCTGCCCTTCCAGTTCTCCCGGGTTCTCAGCTGACACTTCGAGAACCTATGCCATTTGAACTAACCTCCTATTTTTAAGTCTGGTTGGTAATACATAGGAAGGCAGATTTGGATTGGGGGTATGGAATTGATTTTGACATCATCCAGTCTTTCCTTTAGTCCTTTTCAATAACTCATTCCATTCTATTCCATTTTGCTAGGACCATGTCTCATAGGCAAGCGATGAAAGCACATCACTAACACACTGGTTAAGTCTCTATCAGTTATCTGGCTCTCATCGGCCTCTCAGGCCAGATACATTATTTCTGGTAGCTTTGAAAACTATTCTTTTGAAGACACTAAAAACTGACAAAAAATCTGAAAAAATTTTGAGACTTTTTTTCTTGTCTGTGGCCAATGTCACTGATCTTTTCTTGCATGGCAGTCACATCTCATGTGCAATCACATTAACATGTGACAGTGTGTTATTCTGACTCTCCATTTTCCTGCCTCCTCTGAGTCATTTCCACTCAGCTATTCTCTTTTGGAGAGCAGAGACAGCTATAGTATTATGAACAGATTTCCATCTGCAAACCTGGGAGTCTTCTTTTTACATGCAATGGAGAAGTTAGTGCATGTGTGTGTGTATGTGTGGGCAAAGGCCAGAGAACAACTTTTGGTACCATTCCTTAGGAGTCCTCAAGTCTGCTTTTTTGAGACAGGGTCTCTCATTGGCCTGGAACTGGCTAAGTAGGCTAGAGTGACTGCCCAGTGAATTCACAAATTCAAATCTGCTTGTCTCAGGCCCCAGTGCTAAGATTACAATTCTGTCATTATGCCTGGCTTCTTTTCCCCCGGTTCTGAGGCTCAAACTCATGATTGCCCAGCAGGGACCTTTGCCAGCTAAGTTATCCCCTCACCTCCATTTTCATGACCCTTGCTCTCTTGCCTTGCTTCAGTGCTTTTTGTGAGTAAACCTGAGTCCACTAATGACCTCCTTTCACACTTTACTGCTTTAAACAATAACTCTGAGGCGCATGCCCATGTGTTTCTATCTGGTTCACTTAGATCCCCTGGTTTAGAATGTTCTTCTCTTTATCCATTGAATTCTTCAAAGAAGAATTCACACATCTCTACACAAAACTCCCTCTGATTCTGATCTTCAGTACAAACTCTGAGTTTTCAATATTGGTGGGACTTCTAGTCTGTTCCCCAGCAAAATGTTAAGTTATAATCATTTACAGTTTCTTCAATAGGTTACATCCTTTGCAGAGAAGGAAGTTAAGACAGTGTTATAACATTATTATGGGCTCACTTTCGTGAGGCTGAACTAATGCTTTTCACTCATTTTGATTTTATGGATGGGTTTCCAGGAAGAACTAACTTAACCAATGCATATGGCCAGGAATGAAGATAAAAAAACTATGCCAAGTTCTTAGGATTTACCACAGTAGTACCTGGAGTGGAGTATAATATATCTTTGTTTAGTCTCAGGATTCCTTATCAGGAAAAACACCTCAATCCATTTGATGTTGCCTATCTGAGAGAGAGCAGATTCATCTCCAACACTGCCCTTTCCCTCCACGTACAATGTCCTCTTCATCGTCAGGGTCTACAGCTGAATAGTCTTCATTTTTCTCTATGTCCATTGAGAACACACTACCAGTCTCTGTCTGTCTACGTCTGTCTGTCTGTCTGTCTGTCTGTCTGTCTGTCTGTCTGACTCTCTCTGAGAGTCTTTACTCTTACCCTCTCTCATTGACTGTCCAATTAGAATAAGCTTCTCTGAATTTGATGCTCACTAACCACACCTCATTCCTGAACACTTTAACAGACTTGTAAGGATTCCTATAACCCTGCTCTTCATGGTTTGATACCCTTTCCCATCTCACTTTCTTTCTTTCCTTCTGTTTCTGAACTCACACATACCAACTTCCTGCTACCACAGTGTACAATCCTTGGCTAGACACCCCTGCTCTTACTCTTTACACAGTTCACCTTTAGATCATACCAAAGTTAGTCTTTCTCACTAAAGCATTCTCTGGCCTTCCTGACCAAGTCATCTTTCCTTGAGATATCCAATCTTAGTATATCATATTCCAGTATTCCATCACACCACAGCTAAATTGTAATGTTAGTTTTGAGTGCCAGTGATCTCTGGGGAATACCTCTGCCTTCTACTGAACTAAAAGACCTTTGAGATAGGGTTAACCCCAGCACATACTAAAGCCTAGGAAACAATTACTTAAAAGTATATTTTTAAAAATATATGACTGAATGGGTAAGCAACTGGTACTGATTACAATTGGCTATTTCAGCTTAATAAAATGTTTCATGCCACGGGTTGGCAATCATATTCCACTTAATCCTATTATCAACAGGATGTAGATGCTCCCCCGCCATATCATAGGCTAGTGGAAAGGCTCCAATAATCTTGTGCTCAAAGCCACTTCTAACACCTACTTAGCATGCATTTGTAAGCTATCAATACCATATTTGTTTACAGAAAAACACCTAAAAACTGAAATAGCAACTCCAGCAGAGAGCTACAAATTTAGGATTCAGAGACCACATAGACTCTTCAGCATAGTCTCAAACTTCTAAGGCAGTCAGTTAGATTAGCATCTTGTCTGTGTGCCTGCCTGCTTGTTTGCCAACCAACATTTCTGTGTGAGGATCAAAGTAAGGGCCTCATGCACAGTAAGCACAGGTGTTCTACCACTGAAAGTTTAACTTAAAACAAGGAAAAACACATTTAAAAGATCACCAGACTGAGAACAGAGGGAGGAGAGCCTCATTTACATACATTTCTTTCTGAATTACTCAGAGGGGTGTGTTGTAAGGCAGAGTCACCTGAAAGACCATTGCACAACATGAGCGCTGAGGATAATATACTAAATAAACTGTATTTTCAATACGGTAACAAGGGAAAATGGATGCTTATCACAGGCCTTTCATGAATCATTTGAAAGGGTCAAAATTCTTGTGAGTATGTGCAAGAGACAATTAAAACATTGATTAAAATATGAGGAATAATTACTTTTCTTCAGTAGATGTCTCAAGGGTATAATGACTAGCTGAAGTAAATCTTAGAATGCCACTTATTTGCAAAATGCTGCCAAGTAGTCAGGTAATAATTCATAGAACTCATAAAGACTTAAAAGATGGCAGCCCTAATGGAGTTTTTTCCCTGTTACTTATTAAGACCACCTTAATAATTCATGTACGACAATACATTTAACGAGCAACAAAATCTCACGTATCTCGTTTAAGCTTGCCAGCTCTGCTCTCAGTTAATAAAGTCTCCTGCCTCTGAGCCAACAACTGTAAAGCAGCCATAGGCTGCTAGAGGCTGAAACTGCTCCATTTATGATAATCCCAAGAAAAGTTATGTCCTAGATGAACACTTGAGTTTTATGGTCGTCTGCTAGAAGGATTTATTCAGTCTTCATTTGTCAGGAGGCAACAGGACAGTAAGAAGCCCAAACCATAACTGGTCTCTTACTCTATACTGGTTGCTCTGGTCTGTGGATGGCAGCAGCCAATCAGGTTTCCTCAGGAGGAATAGGAGTGGCAATCATGATTTTAAAGCTTTCCTGTGCTTTAGATTGTAAAGGAATCATAGAACATTATTCCCTTGGGAAAAGGTAGTTATGCACATTCCTCACACAGGAGAGTAAATGCACACATAATTCAGACTCAGCTTCTTCACTACCAGTCCCCAGGTACTTCTCTCAAGCCAAGGCATTTTCTGTTGGTGCAGTGAGTGAAACACTTACACATGTTTCTTGCAGAGGGCATTCTCTAGGTGACAGATTCCAAAGTAATATTCAAGATAAAATTTAAAAAGTAGACGTTAATGTTAGGAAACAGTTCCTTGCTATATCCGTTTATAAGAAACCACTAACTGCTATATTGACAGCGATTTAAATGGCAGAAAAATAGATCCCATTTAAGTCTATTTTTGTATCCAATGGTCTTGTTTAAATGGCTGGTTCTTGGCACCTCTAAATTAGGCTGGAGAAGCTGTTACATTTTGGCCAGTGTTTTCTTGTATAAGCCATTATTCAAAAAAAATTATTAGCATTAAAAATCAGGAAAATCCCAGGTTTAGAGAAAAACAGAACTTCACCATAAATATTGACTTGCACTTTCCCTATTAAGTTAGCCTTAGTTCATACAAAAATAAGTATCATGCATCTCATTCCAACTTTGTCCTACTAGAACCTGACACAGCAAAGCTGATCACATTGGGGTAATATGTGCAGAAGCAGCAATACCTGGTGTAGGAAGGGAGGGGCAGAGTGATTCTGGTCCATTTGTTGAAAGTATCTGACACCAGGATCCGCTGTAGGTGATAACGACTGCACTCAGCATTAGTAGGCAGGCAGTCCCTCACCAGTGGGTGCCACGAAAGCCCAAGATCCACTGAGTACTCCAGTTCAATAGCTGAAACAGGAAGTAGTATTCTCAATATAAGCACATGTCTGCAGACCCAGGAGCCACAGTAACTTACTGTGTGTACATAGGTTTTAAATGTAATGAAATAGTTTTACTTTTCCCCATGTTTATGTTTCTGACTTTGAACTATTTACCAGTTTTGTTTTTCCCTCTGTACATTATTGTTATCTGTCCATCTCTCTGTCTGTCTGTCTATCCATGCATCCATGATTCATCCATCTATCCATTCATCCATCCACCAACCCATCCATCTATCTATCAACCATCCAACCATCCAACCATCCATCCATCCATCCATCCATCCATCCATCCATCCATCCATCTATCTATCAACCATCCAACCATTCATCATCCATCCATCCATCCATCATCCATCCATCCATCCATCCATCCATCCATCCATCCATCTATCTGGAAATGGGGTCTCTCACAGAGAGACTGTTCTGGAAATCACTATATAGAGCAGGCTGACCTTGAGAGATCCAAGTGCTGGGATTAACATGCACCACAATGCCTGGCCATTTTTGCTAATTTTATAAATAACACTGAACTACAACTCCTTTTAAGGAGTTATGATCCATTGAGATTAATTTACTTTCCCTGAATCACCCATTATAATAAGAACCTCTTAGAACAATTACAGCAAAGTCATTATGGTCTCAGATACTGCCACAAGTGTTAAGAGCAGCAATCATTTATAACACACACACTGAGCTTCAGTCTGCTCCCTCACACCCCTCGCCCCTCCTTCTCCTAATGAAGCCCCTCTCCTCAGTAAGACTCCTCTTAATGTCATGTCATTTTTACCCATAATAAATGTAATGATTTCTTTTTAAATAGTTAAAAGTTTGGCGCAGTATTTTCAAAATTTTAAGACAGAATAATTTTTATTCCTGTGAGTGTTTGTGTGTATGTCTGTGTGTCTGTGTGTTTGGATGGGTGTCCATAGACAGTATCTGGCCAGAGGTACAGGCAGTTGTGAGCCACTCAGTGTGGGTATTGGGGATTAAACTGCACTCCTCTATAAGAACAGCAAATGCTCTAACCACTAAGCCATCTATCTCTCTAGCCACAGTCTTTTAAGTTTTGACCATCTTATAAAACTTCTGGTCCATTGTGTCAATTTTACTCTCGTAATAAAAGACACTTCTTAGAAACCATGAAGCTCTTTCTCTTATACATTTTACCCTATTATATAAAGGAATACACTGAGGAATCAAAGAAGCATGAAGAGATGGCTGGAAGTTATGGTTCGGGTTTGCGTGAGAGCAGTAAGACTGTAGGTCTGCAGAAAATTAAGTATTTCTCTTCCTTTTCTTCCTCTAAACATTTGGCCTCTCTCCATCTCTACTGCTCTTTCTTATTTTTTAAACTTATTCTTCTCTCATATATTATCTCCTGACGACAGCTTCTCTTCTCCTCTCCTCCCCGCACCTACCCCCCCTCCCAGACCCAACCTTTCTCTGGCTGCTGAATGCTTTGTAAATGCCCCAGTTTCCACCACCCTCTTAAGTGTTTCTTAAAGTCATGGCTTTTGGTCTTGGGCAGACACTGAATGCCCCTGGGAATCTTGAGAAACTCTTGGTGCTTGGGATTCATGACCAGAGACTCTTCTCCAAATCTTCT